AACCCTGTTTTATTCACGGAGACTAGTTGCCCCCTGTGAAACATGCAAGTTGCATGTCTGACACATGCAGTAGAGATATAAAATACATAGGATGCAGAGCACAAGTCAGGCAAAAGGTTTGGTATCTTAATATTATTGCAGTATTTTAATTTGCCCTGCCCCCAAGGAACTTCTGAAACAAGTGAAAATTAATCCTGAATGCCAACTGAATGTATGTTATCAGTCTGGAAAGTACCTTTCTGATGTTCTTGCTGGCTCTTCTCGCCAGTGAAGTCAATGACCACAGCACGACCCTCTATTTCTGTGCCCTTCTTCTCCTCCAGAGCTTTGTTTGCCTCAGCTTCTGTTTTAAATTCAACATAGGCCATCCTACAGCACAGAAAAAATGTAAGCAAACACCTCCTTCCAGGAATGACAAAGTTTGTGAATAAAGGGGGGAAAAAACATAAAAGAAAAATTCTAGAAGTAGGACAACTAATGCAGCAGGTTCCTTAAGGCAGCCAAAGGACACATAAGCTTATCAGAATACGCCAAGAGCTAAAGGAACAGCAAACATACAAAAGTCCTCTCAGCTACACACCCTTTGCTGCTCCCGTCCTTGTTCATCACTATCCGGACTTCCAATGCATTTTCAAACACCTCCCTGATTTCATCCTCGGTTATGCGGTAGGGCAGGTTCTTCAAAAACAGTGTTCTGGCATCTCTCTCTGCAAAGACAGTTACTTCAGCTAAAAATCCCTCCTCCTCATGTAAACTGCCAGTTCACTGAGAGTCAGCAAGCTGATCCAGCAGAAATTAACAGTAAGCATTCACAAATTACAGAAGCTGCAAAAGCAACTGTAACAAAATTTAATGAAACTACTGTGCTTCTCTCTTAAGGGCATCAAGTTCAAAAAAGAGGTCCTAGAATTTCATACAAAATACTTTCTTCCTCAGCCCTCCCAATATGCACTATTTCTTTGGATCACATTTGCAGATGTTCCAGTCTGAATTTGTCTATCTGTATGTAAGCATTTTAGAAACTCTTTACTGAGCTGTACCTTTCTTGTTTTCTTTCATAGTTTCCTTGCTCTTTGCTTTTTCCAGTTTGACTTCCAAACCCATTAACTTCTTTCCATTCATTTGGAGAGCTTTATCCAGATCCTCAGCAGAAGAGAAGTCCACATAGCCAAACCGCCTGAAAGAACAGCACCCTTGAGATCTCAGCTGATCCATCTATGGCAGCAGAGACCATAAACAGAAACCCAGCACCAGAGAGGTCCCCACTGGTCAAGTTCCACGCAAAGTTAAACCCTCATCACTACACCAAGCAACCACCCCAGCATCTTGAGGGGTACCAGCACCAGCACTTGCACCTCTCAATAAATTAGTGCCAAATAAAATAAATAAGCAGCAAAATTCTACTGATGAACTCACCTGGAAGCACCGATTCTGACATCTAAAACTTCAATATTCTTCTTCCCAAAGAATTCTCTGAGGCCAGTCTTCAGCTCGTCAAACTCCTTGGTGCAGACCAAATTTGCAACAAATATCGAGAAAGTTGATGCCGGCTCTTTAAATGGAAAGATAATAAAGTGGGTTTTTTTTTAAGGCAGCCTTTAAAACTGGGAGCCAGACTCCCAGCAAGCTTTAGCACATCAGTTTTTGCTCAAAAGTAACATCATACTTCAGTATTAAGTCCCTTATAATCATCATTTGTGCTGGGAAAGCCCACCCCTGACATCCTGGACCTTCACAGTTACATTCTTCATGCAACAGAGTCCAATCACAGTCCATCAAACAAGCATCATTTGATGATCCCACACCACTTACTGTCTGTTTTCTTTTTCTTGGGCTCTGGTGCACTTTTATTGGTCATTTCTTTCTTCCTCTTTCCAGGTGCTTCCTTGACAGGTTCTGTGACAGAAAACAAAACAACACTGAAAAATACAGAACTTTTCCTACTCTGAATCAACACAGGAGCATTGATCTTTACACCAGTCATACACAAGACCTTCCTGTCACTCAGCAGCTGCTCCTCAGCACAAAAGACCACTATAGCGCAACATTTTTTCTCAGACATCTTTCCTATTATTAAAGAATTATGGTCTCAAAAATATTTAAACTCACTTTCATCCTCACTTTCCTCTTCAGCATCTTCTTCATCCTCCTCATCTTCATCGTCATCCTCATCATCATCCTCCTCCTCATCTTCCTCATCTTCAGATTCTGCTGCCTTGGCTTTCACTGGTGCAGCCTTGGCTGGAGTGGTTTTCTTCACTGGAACAGGAGCTGTGTCCATGGCTTCATCTTCAGACTCTGAAACAAGAGGAGCACAGTATTTATAGACAGTTCCAAATTAAGTTCCTTTTGAAACTTAAGAAAACAAAATGCTGTTAAGCAAAATGTTTCTCACGCCTCCTTAAGTTTGTATGTTCTCACGAAAAAAAGTTTAATAAGCTTAATTTTTACAAAAGTTGTCTCTCTCCCTCGAGTTTTACTGCATTAAAAAAAAAAAGAAACCCAATACCGATTCACCAATGGTAAGACGTTTTACTAACAATAGGGAAATTAACACCCCTTCAGCAACATGGACAACAGCAACCAGCTATAACCAGCTGAGCACACACTGCATCACTCCCTTTATCCTTAGTTACTTCCCTTCCCCAGCTCCCTTTATAATAAACATCTTATACCATCCTCCTCTTCATCATCCTCCTCATCATCCTCCTCCTCAGATTCCTGCTTTGCTGGCACAGCTGCAGGCTTTTTGGCTGGTACTGCTGCAGGCTTTTTGGCTGTAGGCTTCACTGGCATTGGTGGTTCCTCTTCTTCATCTGCACCAAGAGTACAACAAGCCTTTACTACTAAAGTTCAATGCATGAGTGGGATAGGTGAAAAGTACTTAGAGCTTCCTAAAATGTTGTCCAAAAGTTCAGAAGAGAGCAATCAAGAAACTAGGAGATGCTTTATAGGCTGTGTGTAAGGCAGCTGCAGCCCAAGCTTTCCTCGAAACTTCTTCCATTGCCCACCTCTCCTCCATAACCCCTCTTTAAAGAACGAAACCACATCACCTCCCAAGTATTAAAATCATACAAATTTTTTGAATCCAAAGGTACTCATATTTAAGGACTTGACTGAAGGAGCTTTAGTCACAGCATATTTCAAAAGAAACTTACCAGAATCTTCATCCTCCTCCTCCTCCTCCTCATCTTCGTCGTCATCTTCATCGTCTTCTTCTTCACTCTCCTCCTTCTTGGCATTCTTTCCGTTTTTTGCTCCTTTGGTTAGGACAGCAGCCTTTTTAGGAGTTGGAGCAACAGCCTTTTTGGTCTGTGGAGTAGCCACAACCTTCTTTGCAGGTGTAATTGCCTTTTTTGCAGGAGTAGCAACTTTTTTTGCAGGAGTTGCAGCCTTCTTGGCTGGAGTAACAGCAACTTTTTGTGGTTTCTTCTGGGGGATCATCTGAAAGACACATCAGTCTAAGAATCATGCTGGCCTGTTTAAGTTACTATTATTTCACTATCAGACAAGCATACAGTACCTGAAATCTGAAGCATATCCTTCTGACAGTTTAAGTTACCTCAAATGTCCACCCTGATTAATCAATTTCATTCTTTTAAGAGCCTAGTTATGAAACATCAAAGCACCTCTAAATTCCCTGGTCCTGAACCAAGACCAGTGACATCTAATAGCATTCAACATCTTGGAATTTTTACACTTGCATGTTATCTGAATGTTTCAAATCTCATATTGCTCATTACTAGGGTAATTAAGTACCCACTTGCTTATCAGCTTTAGGACAGCTTCAAGACCCCAGCAGTACTTCCAAGAGCCTGGAATTACACACTTAGCAGTCAAGCTATTTCTCCTCACGCTGCTATGGCCTTATAAAATCCAGTTTACTCTTTAGTCACAGTTTAGTGAGGAATGCAGACTGTTTATTAATGGCCTGTTACAATGTAACCCACAACCCTCCAAGACACTTCTGTAACACGTGCATCCTTTGACTCCATCTCTAGATCAATCACCTCTTCTCCGCTGCTTTCCTCTAGGTCAGAGGACTCCTCTTCCTCACTTTCCTCGAACTTTTTCGGGGGAGGAGCCATTTTTTTCTGTTTGATCTGATTCTTCGGGGCCTGAAAGAGAGCGGGAGCCACACGTTTACCTCCCTTGCTCACGCGGGTTGCCTGCGAGCGCTCGCTCCGGCGGGCAATTGTCCCCACCACGTGGCCGCCCTCCGGCCCCCGCGGTACTCAAGGGCCGCCCGGGGGCTGCGGGACCGCCCCCGCCGGTGTCCCGGGCCTTCCCGGGGGCGCGGGGGCCTTCCCGGGAGCGCCGCGCGCTCCCACGTGCTCGCTGTCCCCGCGCCCCACGTGGCCGCACTGTGACGTAGCCCCGCCCCCCCTTCCCGCGCGCGCTCGCACGCGGGGGCCCCCACGCCCCTCACACACACGGACCCCGCACCCCTGCGCCCTCTCCGCTCCTGCACCGTGTCCCCGCCCGCGGCCGCCACAAGGAGCAGAGCGGGACGGAGCTGGGCTTGAAACCGCTGCCTCCGGACACACGGCCCCTCCCCTCGCCGCCATCTTCACGACGAGGGAGAACAGGCCTGGAGCCACCGCGCGGCCCGAACGCACAGGGCCGAGAAGGCGGCCCGGCTCCCTCCCCGATACGCCGCCATCCGCACCCGCCCGCCCCGTCATGGCGGCGGGCGCCCCCC